GGCTCTTGAAAATGCAACCCCGATGAAGAAAAGTTACGCAAGTGCAGTAAGTAGCGCTAAACCCGCGAAAGCTAAACCTGTAGCGAACTTGAGTGGTGGTGTCAAGAAGGCACCACCACAACTCGCCAAGGTGGCTCTAATAAGAGCCCCTGAATGTCGAAAGGGCGAGACAAGTGAGCAAACGAAGAAGCGAGTTCTCGAGCTGGTGAACCCAGCCAAAGAGAAGCTTCAAGTTCGAGGGGTACGCATGATGCGTGAGGGAGGAATTGCCGTTGAGGTGGTCACTGACCAAGACCTCAACAAAATTCTCTTGAACGAAAAGCTGAAATCAGATGGATACGAAGTCAAGAAGGCAGGAGCTGCAAAGCCGAGAATCCTTCTCTATGACGTACCATCTGAGTTGAACGAGGATGAAGTCGCTGCTGCCATTATGGAGCAGAACGACATTAAGTCCGACCTGAGCGCAGCTGAGTTTAAAGAATCATTTAAACTAAAGTTCAGGATGGGAAAAAGAGAAGAAGCTCTCACGAATTGGGTTGCAGAGGTAACCCCTGAAATGAGAGGTTTACTCCGAAGTACCAATAAGTCTCGAGTCTACATCGGTTGGTCCGCCTGCCGAGTAGAAGACTTCACGGCCGCGACACGGTGCTTCAAGTGCCAGTGTTACGGCCATGTGCAGAAATTCTGCAAGGAGAAGGAACTTAGCTGTAACTTCTGTTCTAAACAGGGTCACAAAGCTAGTGAATGCCCTGATAAGGCAGCAAATAAATCGCCGACTTGCCCTGCGTGCAAGAAGGCGAAGAAAAAGTCGGACCATAGAGCTGGCAGCAAAAGCTGTCCAGCTCAAAAGGCTGCTGTACAACGGGTACTAAGCCGAACCGACTATGGCAACACAACCTAGTCCTATTTCGATACGTGGCTTGCGTTTGATGCAGATAAATGCTGGCCGAGGCAAGAACACTAGTTCTGCCATACGCCAGTTGTCGGATAAAAATGGGATTCAAATAGCTCTCGTTCAAGAACCTTACTCTGCAAAAGGCAAAGTTTATGGTTTTGGTCTTGCGGCTAAAACTATAATTGGTTCGAAGAGTGATGAGCAACCATGGTCTGCAATAGTTGTATTTGACAAAAATCTGACTGTCATGAGGCTTAGCCAAGTGAGTACCAGTCATATTGTCTGCATACAAGTGGACAATGGGTTCTTTGACGTATACGTTGTATCCGCATATCTCCAATACTCCCATGGAGTGGAAAAGTATTTAGAGGAATTGAAAGTGATCCTTAACCTGTTAAAAGGGAAAAGGATCATCCTTTGCCTTGATTCGAACGCAAAGTCTCCGACTTGGTTCTCTGATCAGCTTGATGAAAAAGGCGAGAAAGTAGAAGAGTTCATTCATGAAATGAACCTCTACGTGTTGAACGAAACTGACCAACCGAAAACGTTCTCATCTACGGCTGGCGAGAGTAACATTGACTTATCAATTTGCTCGAGCCAAGTTGTTAGACACGTTAAAGAGTGGAGAGTAATTGAAAATTGGTGTGAAAGCGATCATCGACCTATTTTTATAGATCTCGAATCTGTAAAGAGGAACGATGATCTTGAACGAGAACACCTAGGAGGCAAACGGTTTAACACCAATAAAGCTGACTGGGAAAAGTTCAATAAAACACTTCTTGACAACCGTCAAGAGCTCGACACGAAGTGTGAGAATAAATTCGATGTCATTAATCTTGCAAAGCAAATCAGAAGGATTATCACCCTTGCGGGAAGAAAATCCATGCCAATGCGTAGAGACAAAGGCCCTGGTGTCAGGTGGTGGACACAGGAGCTAACAGATCTTAAGACTGCTACGAACAAGGCTAGAAGGAAATTCCAGAGAACTAAAGAGCCTGAGAGTAGAGATAGACTTAAAATTGAGTACAGGAATACACGGAAAAAGTTGAAACGTAGAATGAAGGAGACCTCGAAAGAGAGTTTTAAAAACTTCATCACCGAAACGTCGAAGGACCCATGGGGGTTTGCCTACAAGCTTTCTTGTGGCAAGCTCAGAACACAGTGTGCAATGAATACAATCAGAACAGTATCCGGGGAAACCCAGGACTGGAAAGAAACAGCTGAAGTTCTTCTTGATAATCTCTTCTGTTATGATACGGAAGAAGGAGAGAATGAACTTCAAAGTCTTAAGAGGAGCAGAATGCGTGAACCGAGTGAACTCTCGGGGATGCAGGATGCACCTTTTACAGGCAATGAAGTGTATAGAGCAATAAAGAAACTGAAAAACGGAAAAGCTCCCGGTTGGGACGCCATTGAAGTTGTGATGTTGAAGAACTCATGGTCCGTGTTGAACGAACAGTTAATTGCTTTGTACAACGGCTGTCTAAAACATGGAATATTCCCTAATGAGTGGAAGAGTGCAAACGTTGTAACTCTCCTCAAATCGAACGACAAAGATCCGATGGATGCTGCATCCTACCGACCAGTATGTCTTCTTCCTATAAT